GGGTGTTGAATTTTATTGAAGGCCTTTTTTGCATCTATTGAGACAATCTTGTGGTTTTTGTCATTGGTTCTGTTTATGTGATAGATTATGTTTATTGATTTGTGTATGTTGAGCCAGCCTTGCATCCCAGGGATGAAGCCGACCTGATTGTAGTGGATAAGCTTTTTGATGTGCTGCTGGATTTAATTTGCCAGTATTTTATTGAGGATTTTCACATTGATGTTCATCAGGGATATTGGCCTGAAATTTTCTTATTTTGTTGTGTCTTTGTTAGGTTTTGGTATCAGAATGATGCTGGCCTCATAAAATGAGTTAGGGAGGAGTTTCTCTTTTTCTTTTGTTTGGAATAGTTTCAGAAGGAATGATACCAGCTCCTCTTTGTATTTCTGGTAGAATTCAGCTGTGAATCTGTCTGGACCTGGGCTTTTGTTGTTTTGGTTGGTGGGCTATTACTGACTGCCTCAATTTCAGAGCTTGTTATTGGTCTATTCAGGGATTTACTTCTTCCTGATTTAGTCTTGGGAGACTATATGTGTTCAGTAATTTATCCATTTTTTTTCCAGATTTTCTAGTTTATTTGCATAGAGATGTTTATAGTATTCTCTGATAGTAGTTTGTATTTCTGTGGGATCAGTGATGATATCCCTTTTATCATTTTTTATTGTGTCTATTTGATTCTTCTCTCTTTTCTTCTGTATTAGTCTGGCTAGCAGTCTATCTATTTTGTTAATCTTTTCAAAACACCCACTCCTGGATTCATTGATTTTTGAAGGGTTTTTTTAATATCTGTCTCCTTCAGTTCTGCTCTGACCTTAGTTGTTTCTCATCTTCTGCTAGCTTTTGAATTTGTTTGCTCTTGCTTCTCTAGTTCTTTTAATTGTAATGTTAGTGTGTTGATTTTAGATCTTTCCCAGTTTCTCATATGGGCATTTAGTGCTATAAATTTCCCCCTAAACACTGCCTCAGCTGTCTCCTAGAGATTCTGGTACATTGATATCTTTGTTCTCATTGGTTTCAAATAACTAATTTATTTCTGCCTTAATTTTGCTATTTACCCAGTAGTCATTCAGGAGCAGGTTGTTCAGTTTCCTTGTAGTTGTGCAGTTTTTAGTGAATTTCTTAATTTTGAGTTCTAATTTGATTGCACTGTTGTCTGAGAGACTGTTTGTTATGCTTTCTGTTCTTTTATGTTTGCTGAGGAGTGTTTTACTTCCAATTATGTAGTTGATTTTAGAAAAGGTGCTATGTGGTGCTGAGAAGAATGTATATTCTGTTGACTTGTGGTAGAGAGTTCTATAGATGTCTCTTAGCTCTGCTTGGTTTTGAGGTGGGTTCAAGACCTGAATATTCTTGTTAATTTTCTATCTTGTCTGTCTAATATTGACAGTGGGGTGTTAAAGTCTCTTATTATTGTTGTGTGGAAGTGTAAGTCTCTGTAGGTCTCTAAGAACTTGCTTTATGAATCTTGGTGCTCCTGTGTTGGGAGCATACATATTTAGGATAGTTAGCTCTTCGTGTTGTATTGATCTCTTTACCATTATGTAATGTCCTTCTTGGTCTTTTTTGATCTTTGTTGGTTTCAAGTCTGTTTTATCAGAGACTAGGATTGCAACCCCTGCTTTTTTTTTTTTTTTTTTTGCTTTCCATTTGCTTGATAAATATACCTGTATCCCTTTATTTTGAGCCTGTGTATGTGTGTCTTTGTACATGAGATGGGTCTCATGAATACAGCACATCAATAGATCTTGACTCTTTATCCCGTTTGCCAGTCTGTTTCTTTTAATTGGGTCATTTAACTCATTTACATTTAAGGTTGATATGTGTCTTTTAATTGGGGAATTTAGCCCATTTACATTTAAAGTTAATATTGTTATGTCTGAATTTTTTTCTCTCATCATGATGCTAGCTGGTTATTTTGCACATTAGTTAATACAATTTCATCATAGTGTCATTGATCTGTATATTTTGGTATGTTTTTGCAGTGGCTAGTACTAGTTTTTTCTTTCCATATTTAGTGCTTCCTTCAGGAGCTCTTGTAAGTCAGGGCTGGTGGTGACCAACTCCCTCAGCATTTGCTTGTCTGTAAAGGATTTTATTTCTCTTTCACTTATGAAGCTTAGTTTGGCTGGATATGAAATTCTGGGTTGAAAATTCTTTTTTAAAGAATGTTAAATATTGGCCCTCACTCTCTTCTGGCTTGTAGAATTTCTGCAGAGAGATCTGCTTAGTCTGATGGGCTTCCCTTTATGGGTAACCTGACCTTTCTGTCTAGCTGCCATTAACATTCTTTTTTTTTGAGATGGAATTTCGCTCTTGTTACCCAGGCTGGAGTGCAATGGCATGATCTCAGCTCACCGCAACCTCTGCCTCCTGAGTTCAGGCAATTCTCCTGCCTCGGCCTCCTAAGTAGCTGGGATTACAGGCACGCGCCACCATGCCCAGCTGATTTTTTGCATTTTTAGTAGAGACGGGGTTTCACCAGGTTGACCAGGATGGTCTCGATCTCTTGACCTTGTGATCCACCCACTTTGGCCTCTCAAAGTGCTGGGATTACAGGCGTGAGCCACCGCACCTGGCCGCCATTAACATTTTTGTGTGTGTGTTTCAGCCTTGGTGAATCTGACAATTATGTCTTGGGGTTGCCCTCAAGGACCATCTTTGTGGTGTTCTCTGTATTTGCTGAATTTGAACATTGGCCTGTCTTGCTATGTTGGGGAAGTTCTCCTGGATAATATTGTGAAGTATGTTTTCCAACTTGGTTCCATTCTCCCCATAACTTTCAGCTACACTAATAAAATGTAGGTTTGGTCTTTTCACATAGTCTCCTATTTCTTGGAGGCTTTGTTCATTCCTTTTCATTGTTTTTCCTCTAATCTTGTCTTTATGCTTTATTTTATTAAGTTAATCTTCAATCTCTGATATCCTTTCTTCCCCTTGATTGATTTGGCTGTTGATACTTGTGTTTTGTTTTTCAGCTCCTTCAGGCCATTTATATTCTTCTCTAAACTGGTTATTCTAGTTAGGAGTTTCTGTAGCCTTTTATCAAGGTTCTTAGCTTCCTTGCATTGAGTTAGAACATGCTTCTTTTGTTCTAAGGAGTTTGTTATTACCCACCTTTTGTCAGTTCATCAAACTCATTTTCCATCCAGTTTTGTTCCCTTGCTGGCAAGGATCCTTTTGGGGAGAAGAGGCATTCTGGTTTCAGAATTTTCAGCCTTTTTGTGCTGGTTTTCCCTCATCTTTGTGGATTTATCTACCATTGATCTTTGATTCAGAGCAACTTAGGATGGGGTTTTGCATGGGCATCCTTTTTGTTGATATTGATGTTATTACTTTCTGTTTGACTAATGTGTTCAAGGAATATCAAGAAAGTTAGAGTTTCTGAAATACTGTGAGCAAGAAGGAAAGTGATAGAAGATACTCAGAGGTATTGGACCAGATTATGTTAGGCCTTGTAAACCCCTGAAGGGGCTTAGGATTTCACTCTGATTTCGGCATCTGTTGGAGAGTTTTGAGCAAGGGAGTGACATGATCTGAATTATTCTTGCTACTGTGTTGAGAATAGAATGCAAGGGTCAAGGACGAAAGCAAAGAGATGTGATAAAAGGCCATTACAGTAATCCAGATGAGATGATGGAGGCTTAGACCAAGGTGGTAGTGGGGAGAGGTGGGAAGAAGTGGCCAGATTCTGAATGCATTTTTAAGATAGAACCAACAGGATTTGCTAACAGACTGGGTGTTGCTTAGGAGAAAGAAAAGAGAAGCTTCAAGGATGATTCCAAGTTTTTTGGTTTGAGAAATTGGAAGAATAAGGTTTCCATTAGTAAAAAATGTTATTGAAGAAGTTGGAAATCAGTTCATATAATGTCTTCTTAATAAGGCATATGAAAGAAATTTAAGAACTTGCTTTGTTAGTATTTTTGTTTGTATCTAATGAGAGCTGCAAGTTGTGAAACTGATTGCATTGGCTGCTAGAAAATGAAGAGCATTTGTATCCTTTGTAGCAAAGGTATAGCTATCTAAAATTCGTGTGTTTTTCATATTGACTTTGTTCACATTTGGCCTTTCTCTTTTTTCACTACTTCTAATTTATTCTCTTATATGTTATATATCCTTATATACTTCCTGAAAATCTTTTTAGAACAGGCAGGACTGATTTAATGAAAATAAAAATAAGTTGTTTGTATCGTTTGCTGGCAAAAATGAAATGTGGGCAATAGTATTAATTTTTAAAAACCAAGTTAAAATTAAAATTTAGAACATCATCTTGAACTATAAATATGTGTTTGTGTGAGTTTACGCACACTCACAATTTTGAATGCCTGCTGAGTTCCTACAACTCTGTGTATCATACATTCAGCAACATTCAGTGAATAGTGCTGTTCTAGGCACTTGGTACATCAGTTGATGAATCTACCATCAGGGAGCTTGCATTCTAATGGGGAGGATACTGAGAAACAGCACATGTAGTAGACCAGTAAACTATACAGTATGTTAGAAGGTTATACATGCTATGGGAAAAAAAAACTCAAGTGTGATGAGGGAGGTTAGAGATTAAGAGGATGTGGGGATTGCAATATTAAATAGAATGGTCTGGATGGGCCACATTGAGAAAATGAAATTGGAGCAGAAACTTGAAGGAGGTGAGGTTGTGAATTATGTGGCTGTCTAAGGGAATAGCATTTCATTAGAGGGAACAGCAAGTGGAGGTTCTGAAGTAGGCATGTTCTTAGAGTATTGAAGAAGCAGCTAGGTGAACTGTGTGGATTTGAATGAGTGAGAAGAGTGGTAGGAAATGAGATCAAAGAGGTAATGGGATTAGGCAGCAAATCGCAGGGATTTGTAGACTGCTTTAGGACTTGAGCTTTTCCTTAGTGAAAGTGGATGCTACTGCAGTTTCAAGCATGAGAGGAGCATGATTTGACTTGCATTTTAAAAGCATTGCTCTGGCTACTATATATAACTTTCAAAGGAGTTGATGATTATTTCTGCGATTTTAGGTATATTACAGCTAATACTGACACAGAAGAACAGAGTTTTCCAGTCCCTAAGGCATTTAACATACATGTAGAGGAATTAAATTTAGATGTCCTTCTTCAGAAGGTAGATCATTTGCGTATGAGTGAGTCCGGCAAGTCGGAGAGTTTTGAACTACTTTGTGACCACAAAGAAAAGGTAAGAGGCATGACAATAGCTCTTTGTATAGTTTCACTTTTTTATTTAACCCGCCATCTCATTCAGTTATGACTATAATAATTGTGTCATGGTTCACACAGGTAAAGATTGATGTAAAATTTCTCTATAAAATGACGAAAATTTTTTAAAATTTATTTTTTATTTAAAATGACTAAAACTTTTAAAAAGTAAATGTGAAAGTTTATTAGACTCTAAGGTCACAAAAATGAGAACCAGAGCTATAATTATGCAGATTTATTTTATTTGATTAATTTGTATATTTAGTAAATACTTTGAGAGAGATAAGGGCATTTAAAGCTATTTCTACCAATGGTCATTTGTTAATTTGGCAGTGTTTAATGTGAGGCCTGAACAAGAAAAGGAAAGCCTGTCCAGTGCTCTCACCACCACCACTAAAAAATTAAACGAGTTTGCAGTGTCCCAAGGAAAAATAAATATCTTTGAGGATTTAGCAGCTCTAAACACATTATCTAAAACTTGATAGATCTTCAGGATTATATTTAGGTAATTTAAGTAAAAACAGTTACTGCTCTTTTCTTTTTCTTTTTTTTTTTTTGAGACGGGGTTTCACGCTTGTTACCCAGGCTGGAGTGCAATAGCGCGATCTCAGCTCACCGCAACCTCTGCCTCCTGGGTTCAGGCAATTCTCCTGCCTCAGCCTCCTGAGTAGCTGGGATTACAGGCACGCGCCACCATGCCCAGCTAATTTTTTTGTATTTTTAGTAGAGACAGGGTTTTACCATGTTGACTAGGATGATCTTGTTCTGTTGACCTCATGATCCAACCGCCTCGGCCTCCCAAAGCGCTGGGATTACAGGCTTGAGCCACCGCGCCCAGCCTGCTCTTTTGAGTGTATGCTTTTCTTTTTTTTTTTTTTTTTTTTGAGACGGAGTTTTGCTCTTGTTACCCAGGCTGGAGTGCAATGGCGCGATCTCGGCTCACGGCAACCTCCGCCTCCTGGGTTCAGACAATTCTCCTGCCTCAGCCTCCCGAGTAGCTGGGATTACAGGCATGCGCCACCATGCCCAGCTAAGTTTTTTTGTATTTTAGTAGAGACGGGGTTTCACCATGTTGACCAGGTTGGTCTCGATCTCTCGACCTCGTGATCCACCCGCCTCGGCCTCCCAAAGTGCTGGGATTACAGGCGTGAGCCACCGCGCCCGGCCTGAGTATATGCTTTTCAACTTACAGATATTAACTGGGATGCTCATTATATTGATAATAGATAATAAAGAAGAAACAGATGCCACAGCCCAGGAAGAATTTCTAGATTTTGGTACCTATCAAATGTCTCCTCTGCATAGATGGAGCTAGTGTCTGGATACTATTAATTGGTTTTAAGATCCAAATGTAACACTACATTAGGTCATATTTATTAGCCATGAGTATTTGGATTCCAGAATGTTTCACACTGAAATATTCATATACGTAGATTCGAGAATCTATAAATACCAGTTTGCCTGCCTAAGTTGTTAAAAATTTTCAGTAGAAAACAAGGGTAGAATAGGGGAGGGATAGCAGGGGACTGGGGGGATTGGGGAAGGATAACATTAAGCGAAATACCTAATGTAGGTGACAGGGGAATGGAGGCAGCAAACTACCGTGGCATGTGTATACCTAGGTAACAATCCTGCACAATCTCCACATGTACCCCAGAACTTAAAGTAAAAAAAAGAAAAGAAAACAAGAATAGAATAGACCAGTTACCAAGTTAAGTTAACAAGGAACTCTATGTTTTCTTTTCAGTTTAGAGATGAAATAGAGTTTATGTGGCGATTTGCTCGTGCTTATGGAGACATGTATGAACTATCTACAGACACACAGGAAAAGAAACATTATGCTAATATTGGTAAGCATTTTATAAAGATAATTCTCAAGTAACCATTAAGAGCTATACTAAATCACTAGTGAATTTTAACTAAAGCTAAATTATCTTAGCTAAAACCAATATATTTCATCTGTTTTAATATATTCTGGTACAAAAAAAATTCACAGAACAGAAAGGCATTTTAGGACTAAAGTATATGGTCTTCAGAAATACTTGAGTATATTAGAATAGGTGACCGAAAACACTCAAATTTCATCTTTTAACTTTATAAAACATAGACAAGAAATGTAGTGGCGGTGTTCGAGAAATAATAACAGGTAGAGGACAAGTTACTGAATAAACTCTCAGACTTTAATGTTTTTTCCAAATGTAACTTGATGAAACAAGATTAACCTTGTTAAAAACCTTGTTTGATAATTTTCTAAGCTGAATGATGATTACATGGTGGTTCACTATTGTGTCATCTATACCTTTCTGTATGTTTTTGGAATTTTCATCACAATGAGAACAACTATAAATAGACAAAATGTCAAATTGTTATTTTTATATTTCACCTGGGCTCTCACTGAATGTCAAATGTGTTCTTGCAAAAGCCCCTACCTGCAATCTCTCTGAATGTCAGTATAGTACTTTGACATCAAAATTCTTTTAATTCTTCATTTATTCCAAAGGCTTCTCTTTTCCAGTCTTTTCTTCTGGAAAAGATAGCAAGAGGAAGACACAGCAAGAAAGGGTTCTTCCCAGTCTAGTTCTCTGTAATTTTTATTTCCAAGCAGAAAGTTCTACCAAACTCCTTGTAATTATATTTTTTTCCACTTGGAGATTTATTTGCTGAATGACCTCTGTGCTTTAGTTCCCCGCAGTGGGAGGAGGATGAGAGGGCATTCCCCTCTTGTTGGCATATTTATCATCAGCTTTGTAGAGGTTTTCTGTAGCAATCCAGTTTGAAGACCATATACAAAACAGAATTCTAGAGATGTATTAATTTCAGGATAAATAAAAACAACAAAAGAGAACAAGGGGATTTATTTTCATATCTACTGAGAAAATCAAAGTATATCTGTGTAAACTGTTCCAACATTCATCAATATTAAATACATTTTTTTCATAAGTACCCGCCCTACCCTGGGTATTATGTGCTAAGGTAAGAATAAGATAGTAAAATAGACATGTTTTCAGACTACAGGGGAGTTTATGGCTTTATAGGGGAGGCAGCACCATTCAAATAATCATACATATACAAAAATGAATGGAAATGAGTTCTTATTAAAGAAGAGTACAGAGGCCGGACACAGTGGTTTATGCCTGTAATCCCAGCACTTTGGGAGGCCAAAGTAGCTAGATGATTTGTGCTCAGGAATCTGAGACCAGCCTGGGCAACATAGGGAGACCCTGTCTCTACTAAAAATAACACATGACTAAGGTGGGAGGATTGTTTGAGTACAAGAGATCAAGGCTGCAGTGAGCTATGATTCCACCACTGCACTCCAGCATGGGTGACAGAGCGAGACCCTGTCTCAGATAGACAGACAAATAGACAGATAGACAGACAGATCAGGTCGTTTGTGAGCCCATGTAGCAGAAAGGAGGATATGATGGCAGAGGTTGGAGGTTGATGCAGGGAAGTCTTTCTTATGGAAGTTACGGTTTCCCATGGGTAAAATCAATCTGGATCTCTATTTTTAAATGGAATAGGAGTTTAATTGAGTTAATTGTCTTAGGTGGTGAAATTCAGAAAGCAATAGGTTGAAGAGAATCCAGGGGCAATAATGAAGCATAGGATTCAAATAGGATATATCTTTAAAAAAAAGAAGTTTATAGTACCAAAGAGAAAGGAGTCGAAAAAGGCTTAGATGTGTTCATTCAGATATTGAAATAAATGTAAAAGAATTCCTTTAATTTATCCATTTAAGAAATATTTATTCAAAATTATTTTGTCGAGGAACAGTGTGAAAATGGAGGGTGGTGGGCAGGGGAGGAGGGAGAGGAGAGGCATAAATATGATGAAGGCTGCGTAACACTAAGGAACTACTCTATGGAAAAGATAATAAAGGGGCAGCCAATTATATTCAGTGTATAAGGTGTAAGTGGTTAGTAATGGTAATGACACTGGAGCCGAGAGCAAGGCAGGGGCTCAGACCAGCCGTGGAAGAATGCTGGGATTCATCTTCTTCTTATAATAGCAGTTTAAGATTGTTATGCTTAGGAAAGATTTAATCACTGGAGAGGACAGAATTCTTTGATAAAACTCAAAGTGAGTATACCATCATGCAATATGTTTCTGAAGTACTGTGATATGAATCTTATATTTAAAGAAATTTGGGAACCATTGAGTTAATTCAAGAATCCACCTCCTACCAACTCACTTGAAGATACTAAGTGTAAGTACCTTATCTTTCAGGAAAAACTTTAAGTGAAAGAGCTATTAATAGAGCACCCATGAATGGACATTGTCATCTGTGGTAAGTATATAGGATTTATGCAGGCTTTTAAATTCTAATCTGCCTCTTTCTAAATTAAATGGATTTTTCAAAATATTATTGGCCCACATGTTTAATCTGTCAGTCACATTCCTTGAAAAATACACATAATAGCACAGTAAGTGTTCTTACTCTGTTTATTCACATTTTTATTATGCATTCTTTTAAATATATTTAAGCAAAACTTTTATTGAAAAATTCATGAATGAATCTACCAAGTCTACTGGCTTTGAAGATGATAAATTATAATTAAATCTAGTTCAGTATAACATTTTATTTGAACACAAATACTAAAATGATGGCATGTTTCTAAATGAAATATAGAAAAGCACATCAACCATTTCTTAAGCATTGATGTATCGTAATATACAAATTCCACAGATCAAGGAAAAGTCATTTATGATATAAAAAGCTCGAAGAGAATTTAATTAGTTAGATAGGTATAGGTAAATATCCTTGGAGCAAAAAAAAATCTTTCTTAATTGTGTTGTGTTTGGACCCTTTGTATGTTTATGTAAACATTATTTTATAAATATAACTTATTATAAAACAAGTAGAAATATATCGTTTTAATTATTATTCTTCCTTTTACTTGTAGTTGCATTTTTACATTTGTAGTTCCTTGGTTTCTTTTTCTCCCCAGCAATGCAGGTACCCCAGATGGTGGGAAAATACAATAATAAATGTATGACCCTTTCGTCAGCCCTAAGTTTCCAGAAATCCACCCTTCTCTGCAGTTATTTTCTTTCCCATCCCCATGACGTAGGGGCACCCAGGCAAAATCTCTCTCAAAATGGCTCCCTATCCACAGGTCCACATTTGTTTCATTTTTGCCCCACCAAAATCTGAAGTACAAACCCTTTTCCCAAAGGAGACCTGTTTTTTCACTCTGCTATCAGCAGGGGGAGCTCCACTCACAAACTCTCACTTAAAATTCCTTGGGCAGGAATCTGGTAACATTTTATTTGTCCAGACTCAAAGAGACACATGCCAAAATATGAATAGACTTTTTGATGCTGCCCTCAGATGGCTTTAGATGAGATGCAAGCCTGTCACCTGCCCTCTGTCATGAGAGGGTAGAAGGTGGAACCCACAGCACCCCAACCCTGAAGAAATCCTCACTCACAGTCTCCCTCCCTCCTGCAAATTCTTTGCCTTCTCTTAGATAGCCTGGAGTAGAGTGAAGGGCTAAATCTGACAGAACCTGTGAATAATTTCTTGGTATGTCAAGCATTGGTAGTAGAGAATCTTGCTTTAGGGATTAGAGTACCTGATAGATAAAGTATTGTTTTGTACTCTGGGTGCTTCTGCCAGAATTCTAGGGAAAAGGTAATTTTCCAGATAACAATTTGATACAGATTTTCAAGATTACTTCCCTAGTACAGAGGGGCTTGGCTATTTTTTATATTAGCCAGGTTTACCTAGATCATCTAATTTACATAATAACACTAGTAAATTAACATACATGTTAAAGTACTTTTGTTCTACTTTTAGTAGTAACTATAATGAATTTGTGGTGATCAAGCCTTACTCTCTTCATCTCCTTTGATAATGGAGGCATTTGGGAACTGGTTAGCCTAATTAGGATGCAGAAAGAACACCCAAGTCCTGCTTTTAACTCTCAATTCCTCCTTTTCCTTCCCCACTCTTCCTGTTTCTTACCTCCCCCTTCTATGCTCCCTCCCCTCCTTTTCCTTCTCTTCTTTCTCCCTGTCCTCTATTGCTCTTCCTTCCCCATCCTGTCCTCTTCCTTCTCTCCTACATGCATCTGTACCTATGAATAATCACATTTAAAATGTGTATTTGGAGTAAATCCTTAATTTGAGGTTATTTATCAGTGTGAGTTTCCAAATTTTCATAGAGGAGCCATGTTGAATTTTCTCTGAGGGTTTCATTAAGTACCTTGAAATGTATCTTGTGAGCATAGATTATGCTGAGCTCTCCATTAGTGGGTTTCCCAGTCTGTCTTCCACTAATCTGGTTATATCTCTTGGTTCATCTTCTTTTACTGTTTGTTGAGAACTAAACACTTTGTTTATAACCGTAGCATTTAATCCCAAGATTAACACACACAGAGTAGTGATCCAATTGTGTTTCACCTAATTTCTTACTATCAGTTTTGAATTAAAAAAATTAAAATCTCAGTTGATTAAAATTTAAGAAATTTAAATATCAATTTAATCTTAATTCTTATACTATATCCTACTGAATGCAAAAGTTCTCCTAAAATTGTAGATGTTTTAGGGAATGAAAAAAGAAATTTAAACTTTGACTTGAGAAGCAATGATTTTATAATTAATTGTAATAAAATGTTGAAATCTTATTCTGTTGGGTACTCTTTAAGTATGTTAAAACTGAACTAAAACCGAGTTTATTAATATGTTAATAAGATATTTTCTCATTCATTCAGCATGAATGACAAACTGTGGCCTGCAGATGAATTTGACTGCCTGTTTTTGTAAATAAAGTTTTATTGGATCACAGCCCCACACATGCATTTTTGCATAGCAGCAGAGTAGTTGCAAAAGACTGTCTGGTCCCAAAGCCTAAAATGTTTACTCTCTGGCCCTACTGCAAAAGTTTGCAGACCCATGGTTTACAGTGTTATATGATGGTTTATAAACCTTCATTTTGAAACAAAAGATGTAATCTTTAAGAATAATTTTCTAATTTTAAGAATAAAGGCTTAATATTATTTGGGAATGATTGAAAAATGAAGATTATTTTAATGGCTTAGTTTTATCTCTATCTTTTCTAAAATGAAATGGCTTTGTAACTTTAAAGCTATGTATGGTTTCTATAAGATTCAGTTGTTTTTGTTGTACTAACAAAAAGTACTTAATACTTCTGGAATTGAGAGAATGAGAATAAAGTCACCAAAGGATTTGCAGTTTGTTGGCCAAATAAGCCTGACCTTAATTATAAGTAATGTCTTACATATTTGTTGTGCTCTACTGTTTGCAAATTATATCCACATGTGTTATAGCTTGTGGTTCACAGAACAGCTTGTTTTCACTTTGTAGATGGAGTAAGCAAGGTACTTCTGTGTGTGTGCGCACGCATGGGTGTGTGTTGGCTAGTAATCAGAGCCATACAATAAGTGGGAAACCAGAAACTAGAACCCAGTTTTATATTCTTATATACCTAATCATTTTTCCGTTAACAGGATGCTGCCTCTGCTTTTCATTGTGAAAACAGCATTGGTGCTGAATCAGAAATACTGCAGGGAAATTAATGGAGTTGTTTTAGTAGTTGTTGAACCAGTATGATAGTCAATTATTAAGGATATATTCACTATCAATGCAAAGAAAATACAGTGTTCTTGTCAAAACGTATGTAGTTAGAATGACCTCTAGATGGAGGTAATACACCATAGTGTGAATTAACTTTTTCAGAATTTCCGTCAATCTGAGTGTTTGAGAAATAAAGCATAAAATTATGTATTTTAGATGAGCAGTATTAAAAAAATCATATACACACACAAACATAGGTAGAATTGATTGACAGAAAAGAAGTAATGACCCTTTGGGAGAAAGTGACCAGGTACTTTGAATTTATGATACATAAAAAGATGGATGTATTTTAAACTTTAAAGAGGCAGAGTCCAAAAAAATATGAAAAACACAAATACTAAAATGATGGCATCTTTTGTGTCTAGGAATGATCTTATTGTTCCAAATTAAAATTGCTCACTGGTTTTTGTATGTGGAAGTTATACGTATTCACAGAAGGGACTGAGATAAATAACATCCAAAATTATATATTTCATCTTAGTTACTATGACAATGCAAGTAAAACTTAACACCTACTCTTGAAATATTTTTTTAATAAGCAGGCCAGGCCATTCACCTCTCCCAGCACCTCAGAGACTTGGCTCTGGCTCCACAGCTGGAGACTTACCTGGCCCTCCTCCCTAGGGAGCAAGTGCCTTCCACTTACTTCCCATCCAGGTCTCAGAGGTGGCCAACTTTGGAATCTTTCTTTAACCATTCAAGTAATCAACTGAAGTATTCACCCTTTAATCTTAAGTATAGTCTTTTAAGAAAAACAGTAAACGATGACTGCTGAAAGGCTTATTGTGTAACCTCCCCCCCACAAAAAAGGTAAATAAGGTAAATGGATATTTTACCTTAGACAAAAACACTCTAAAATATTCTGAAGATTTTTATACAGATAGAAATGCTCTGAATGTGAAAAACAACATATCCGCAGTTTTTCCAGTAAATAAGCAAATTGCTGAACAAAGATTGCATGCAATTTATAGTCAAATAATTATTCGTGTAAATTTTGTATTTCCAGTAGAAACAAGTAAATGACCTATGGGATGCACTATTCTAGTAATGCAGTGTTTCCAGGAAGGGTTGAGGGAGAAGGGGAAATTTTTTGAGAAAGCATACTCTAAAATTACCTTTGATTTTGTTATAATCATAGTATTTATATGCATTTTCATTGATATTAAAGGAGCTCATGAAACTAAGTTTTTTTAAAGGAGGGAATAAATTCTTTAAAGTTGACTTTAACAATGTTTTTAATGTTATAAATCTGTTGACAATATTTTTTCTAATTTAACACTTAATGTGATTAGACTTTTTCTGAGAGTTTCTTTTGAGATTCTGTCACAAAATGATGATATTGACAGTGGCAGGTAACATTTGTTGAAACTCCCTATATCCCAGGCACTGTTCTAATCACATGACCTGTTCTAGCTTATTTTACCCTCGTAGTATTCATATAAATATTGTTAGTATCCCTGGTTATAGATGAGAGAACTGACCTCACATTAATGTCAAGTATTTGTTATTGTTAGGGCCCTCATATTCATATGAATATTCTTGTTAAATATTAATGAATGCTTTAGATTTTCTTTTAATGTTATGCTTTGGTGGCAGTTTATTTAAAATGTACACAGTGGCAACTGTTTTTATCCTTTTCAGGTATGCAGTTTTGTGTGGCTATGTATCTGAGTTTGAGGGTTTACAAAACAAAATCAACTATGGGCACCTCTTCAAGGTATTTTTTTTTAATATTTCTTTTCAGATCCAGATTTACAGAAGGGTATTTCTTAATATTAAAAATGTTTTAAGATAGCCATATGTTCCTTCAACAGGTATAAGCCAGATTATTCAACAGATTAAGCTCTGGGAATTTGCTTTTTTGTTTGTTTAAACATTAGAAAATGAAATGATATTCTTTAAATAATACTATGACAAAAATAAGTTATTTGGGTGATTAAAGATTATTACTAATTTGAAAGAAGTCACAGAATAAATGAGTATTGCTTTTTCAAAGATTAAGAATTAGCCAGCCAGGTGCAGTGGCTCACACCTGTAATTGCAGCACTTTAGGAGGCTGAGGCAGGCAGATAGTTTGAGGTCAGGAGTTCGAGACTAGCCTGGCCAACATGATGAAACCCCATCTCTACTAAAAATGCAAAAATTAGCCAGGCATGGTGGTGGGCACCTGTAATCCCGCCTATTCAGGAGGCTGAGGCAGGAAAATCACTTGATTCAGGGAGATGGAGGTTTCATTGAGCCATGATTGTGCCACTACACTCCAGTCTGGGCAACAGAACGAGACTCCATCTCAAAAAAAAAAAACTAGCCTTTTGATCATAAGCTCACTAATATCGTAAGTGTAACTAGCACTAAGTAGTTAACAATCTCTGTGTATTGATTTGGTGGAGGAAAAGCAAGATCCAATCTGGGATTTAAATTTGCCATGATAGATGAATAAAGTGAGTAATACATACACATAATGTATTATTTGCCTCCAGAGCTCAGTACGTAACCCCTCAACATCAGTAATTACAGAGATAAGTAAACAGTTCTTCCCTATTTTCCAGCTCTCTATAACCATTTGATAATGCCAGAGGAATAGATTTCTCTCCCATCTAGCTCTGCTATTTTTTTCTGCCATTATTACCCATTCCATGTCATTCCATATTTGTAAGCTCACCTCAGAATCAGTAACTATTCAGTAGTCAAGTCATGGATAGGCAAACATACGATTTTGATGTTTTCTATTTTTATAATAGTATTTTGGCTTTAAATTACACATTAATTTAAACAATTTAAATTATTAAATCCTAGTCACAGTTCTGGTTCTAGTTGTAAGCAATCATTTTGGTAGTTTAATTATTGATAAGATCTCAATGTATTAATGATAGGGATGGGAAGGACTGAGACAACATTTTAAAACCACTTTTGGGTTACTAGGCTTTGGCATAGTTCCATTTTACAATATCTGAAACTTGGGAGATGATTTTCCTTTGGATGCTTCTTTCAGGAACATCTAGATATAGCAATCAAACTTTTACCAGAAGAACCCTTTCTATATTACCTCAAAGGAAGATACTGTTATACTGTAAGTTGAATGCCTTTATTTATAAACTTTATTTGAATATACTCTGATTATAGGATACATTTTCAATGACTTATTCATTGCTTTATTTTTACCCAGTGCCTGATTTAGGGAGAATTATAATAGCAATATAAGTTTTACTTAATATATAATACATATGTTAAAATTTTATTTGAATTTATAATTTATACATTATAATTTTTAAATTTATAATATATGTATTTTATTTCTAAACTTGTAATTTATATATATATGTATGTTATATGACACATTTTATATATATATGTGATCTTTCTCTTTCCTGCTCTTTCATTTCTTTTTGCAGTAATCACATTCCCTCCCTTTGTGGCTGTCTCAGGTTGGGATCAACCATCCACACACATGCCCTGTATCTAGGTACATTACTCACAGTTCCTTGGGAGGATGTTTTTTTCATCCAGCAGTATAATTTGTATACTGAGCCCAAATTATGTGCTAACTACTAACTGGCCAGACTTGAATAAAACACTCCTTGCTTTTAAGGAATTTAATTTGGAAGGGTTATGTGACATAGAGATATAGCTCAAATAAAAGCAGCTGATCCATGTCTTAAATGACTATTAGTTTATAGAAAATTACAGAATGTGAAAATATATCTTAAGAATGTGTGAAAAGCGGTGGCTCAAGCCTGTAATCCCAGCACTTTGGGAGGCCAAGGCAGGTGGATCACGAGGTCAACAGATCGAGACCATCCTGGTCAACATGGTGAAACCCCGTCTCTACTAAAAATACAAAAAATTATCTGGGCATGGTGGCGCGTGCCTGTAATCCCAGCTACTCAGGAGGCTGAGGCAGGAGAATTGCCTGAACCCAGGAGGTGGAGGTTGCGGTGAGCCGAGATCGCGCCATTGCACTCCAACTTGGGTAACAAGAGCAAAACTCCGTCTCAAAAAAAAAGAATGTGTGAAAAAAATTACCATGAAAGGGAAATGCCATTTTTTGAATGATAAAATTAGGGTAGGCAAAGAGATAACTTCTTCATTGCAGATGAAAGAGAATTAGAGATGAAGAAGGAAGTTTGCTTTTATCGAACACCTGCTGCTGTGTGCCAGATATGCATTCTGTCCTTTATATTTCTTGTTGCATTTCATCCTTAAAACAGTGCTGGGAAGCAGTTATTATTATACCAGTTTTAACGAGTAAGAATCTGAGTCTTCATGATGATAAGCACCTTCCCAAAGTCCCATTTAACTAGTCAATGAAAGAGGCAGCATCGAAATTCAAATTTAATTCCAAAATTTATGCTCTTTATATTGTGTTACATAGGAAGGAAACCTACATTTTGTTAAGGAAAAAGGTATAAAGGTATATCATCTGTTTTACTCATTTTTTCCTAGTTGTTAGGCTGCAAAGTCAAATAATAGAATGGTTACAACACTCAAATTTTTATGATCTACTTAATGTTGTAAAATACACAACGATGTCTTCATTTTCTGAATATTGCACTGTTGAGCACGCTAGTTGCTAAGGTTGTATTACCTTACAACAACTCACGTTTTACTTACTGTTTATTTTCTGTTGATCCCAAGTTATCTGAAAGCTCTTCAAGGAAAGAGGCCACATTTTATACATCTTGGTATTTTTTTAGCATCTAGCTCAGGTTTTTTTGCACTTAAAATAAGCTGCTTCTACAACTATTTGTTGCTTAAATGATTGATTCACTCAAAGTAGAGAAAAAGTACAAAAAACAAAGAATATGAAAAGCAGTAGTAATAATGACTAACATATACATGGCTCCCATAAGCATTTTATATAGCTGTAAACATTTTATATATTGTAGCTGACTCACTTTTTCAAAAACCCTCTAAGGTTAATAATTTGCCCAGGTTGACTCAGCTAATAAGTAGTGGAACAGGATTCAAACACAGGTAGTTTGTTTCTTTATTCTCTTCTTCTTCTTTTTTTTTAAGATCAAGTCTCACTCTGTCACCCAGGCTGGAGTGCAGTGGTGTGATCTCAGCTCCCTGCAGCCTCCATCTACTGAGTTCAAGTGATTCTCTTGCCTCAACCTCCCAAGTAGCTGGGATTACAGGCATGTGCCACCACGCCTGGCTAGTGTTTGTTTTTTGGTTTTTTTTTTTTTTTGCATTTTTAATAGAGACAGGTTTTCGCCATGTTGGCCAGGCTGGTCTCACACTCCTGACCTCAAATGATCCACCCACCTCGGCCTCCCAAAGTGCTGGAATTACAGGCATGAGCCACCACACTCAGCCCAGGCAGTTTGCTTCTAAAATCTTTGCTCTTAACTAGTATGCTCTACTGCCTACAAATTATAAGTCTAGATAATGAATATTAATTGTGGAAGAGGAAGTTGGAACTCTTTCCATCAGAGGGAATCAGCTTCCCCCAAGGTAATAATGCAAGTATGAGCAAATGTGTAAAGACTGTTTCCAGCATATGCAGACTAAAGAACTCAAAATTTTCTGGCCACACAATATCTTAAAGTTGTGTGTTAGTTTGAAGTCTGTATGTCTGTTTCCAATCAGATCAATGGAAGAACCTGTAAAAAAAAAAAGGAGAACAGCCAAAGGCCAGAAACAAAGCAAGAATACCAGTTCCAAGGACTGGTAAAACAGCCTTGAAACGACCTGATAGTCCGAGGTATTTACCAAGGCTGGTAACCTAAAGCTTAGGTCTGTAGATCTTTGTTGGGGTTGGGGTACTACAGACCTGAGCAGAGCAGAGAGCAACTTGAAGACTGCCACAATATATCTAGGACTCAAAAAGCACAATGCCCAGGGGGGAAAAAGATGAACTTAAATGAAATTTATTCAGCAGAAGCTTATAGCAGTGAAAATTCATTCTCAGCCTTAACCATTGGGATGATAGAGCTGAAAGGAGGAAATGCTCCTAAGATTTTAAAAGCTATTTACCCAACCTCACAAGTGTCTGGAACTTGAATGTACATTACCTATCTAGGCTTAAAGGTCCAAGAAAGAAATTTTAATTCAAAATTGAACTCTGATCTTCATGCCATGGGGAAGTAGAAAAAGCACATGCTAATCCTCTGTAGAGGAATGTACCTTTAGAGAGGCTTTGTAAAACTTTCACAGAAAGTGTCCCAACAATGATAAGTTCACAGTCAAAAATTATAGATTATACCAAGAAAGAAGCCAACAGTAATGACTGCCAGCAGAAAAAAAAAACAAAAAACAGCAGTGGATCTAAAAGGACTTCAGATTTTGGAACTAAGGGATACAGAATATTAAATAGCTATATATAATATGTTTTTTAAAATAAGAGGAATTGGCAGGGAATGGATGAGCAGCATGAGCAAAATTCAGTGCTGCTTTCTGAAAATGAACTGTTAGTTATAGCCATGCAACAAGACATGCTGGAACTTTCAAAAGGACTTGACAGAGCTTTTCTCCTACTCCAGGATGCCAGGCAGTCTTTATAACATTACCTATGCTAATTAAAGCATTTTGTTCAACACCAATTATAGTGTAAAATTAAATTGAAAAGAAGTGTTTCCACATATGTTTGACTGTTTTCCAGATCAAATTTCAATTACTTAACAAAAGAAAGTCTGTGAGTGGCAAGCAAGCATATGAAAAGATATTGATCATCCATAGTCATTAGAGAAATGTGAATTAAAACCACAGAGAAAGACTGCTGTATATTCACCCAAAGGGCTAAAATTAAAAAGATGACAGTACCAGGTACTGGCAAAGATATAGAGCAATTGGAGCTCATATGTTTCGATGGAAATATGTGAATAATAAATAAATATCTGATCAATTCCTAAGTATTCACCAAGAGAAATAAAAATATCTGCTCACACATTCAATAGTATGTGAATGTTCATAGCAGCTTTAGCAGCATAACAACATGCATGCCACTTCAAAGCATTATGCCAAGAAAGCTCACAAAAGACTACCTAATTGCGTTGATATGAAATTCTAGAAAAGGCAAATTATAGTCAGATCAGTAGTTGTCTAGGGCTAGGGGCAGGTTAGGGAGTTTGACGGCAAAGGGTTATGCGAGAACTTTTTAGGATGATGAAAATGTACTATATACTGATTGTTGTGGCAGTTACAGGGTTGTATGCATTTATCAAAACTCATTGAACTATACACCTCTAAAGGAGGAAATTTTATTTTACATAAATTTACCTCAGTAAAGCCAATTTTAAAAATACACAGTGACCGAGAAATGTAGAAACATGTAGAAAAGTTATATCAAATAGTAACCAAATAAATAATAATCAAACTAAAACATATATATGGTTTCAGGCATCTGTTGGGGGTCCTGAAATATACCCTATGAAGAAAAGAGGACTACTACTATACAACACACACACACACACACACACACACACACACACACATACATAAATTTTAAGGCAAAAGTATATCTAGTGATAAAGAGGGTAACTATATAGTAATTATACTTCACAAGGAAAGTATTTATAAACTACTGTGCTTCTAATAACAGCCTCAAAACTATAAAGTAAAAATTGACCAAATTGTCAGGATAAATGTACAGATCAACCATGCACTGGTATTTTCAGCCCCCTCTTTTGGTAATTAATGGAACAAGAAAACAAAAAAGTATTTGTAAAACATTGGCGCCTCAACTTATAAGCTGGATCTAACAAATATGAAGCCATGTTGCTAACCACTGTAGAATAGACATCTTTTCAAGCATATGCAGAATGTGTACAAAAATGGACCATATATGAGGCCATGAACCAAGTCTTAATTAATTTCAAAGAATTGATGTCATGCAGTTTTTCTGACCATAATGCAATTAAACTAAAAATGTAAAAAACAAAATTATAGAAAATGATAATGAAAGCTCCAATTAGATGCCATTTTATTCCTACTCATTTGATAAAAATGTTTAAATCTCAGTATGAGGTGTTGCAAGGATATGGAGCAGCAGGAATTATTACTTTGCTGTGGAAACATCAATCAGCATGACTACCTTGGAAACCATTGAGTATTATCTTTTATATTTGACTATTTGCCTGCCATATGATCGTGCTTACCCTACAGAGACTCCCAAATGTGCTCCAGAATGTATGTGCAAGAATGGCTATGGCACCCTTGGTCCTAAGAGCAAAAAAATGAAGAAGACCCAAATGTCTGTTGACAAAAGTGTGGGTAAAAACATTGCTGATGTCTGTTGAAATGATGACATTTTTCAGTTATTTAAATGACTGAACTTCTGTCATATTCATTATCCTGGATGAAGTCTTAGAGCCATACCATTATGTGAAAAAGCAAGTCATACAAGGAACTAAGCAGTATATTATTTTTTACAAAGTTCAAAACAAAGCAAAAATAAGAATACCAATAAGAAAAATTATGTCAAAAAATAAGGAAATAATTTTTAAGTAGAGGATAATGGACTGGGCAAGATGGCTTATGTCTGTAATCCTAGCACTTTGAGAGGCTGTGGAAGGAGGATCTCGTGAGCCCAGGAGTTCAGGACCAGCCTGGACCATACAGGAAGACCCTGTCTATACAAAAGATTTTAAAAATTAATTGAGCATGTGATGCACACCTGTAGTCCCACCCAACTACTCAGGCAGCTGAAGTGGGAGGATTGTTAAGCCCCGGGGGTCGAGGCTACAGTGTGCCATAATCGTGCTGCTGCACTCCAGCCTGAGCAACAAGGTCAGACACTGTCAAAAAAAAAAAAAAAAGAGGATATTGGCTACCTAGGAATCTAGATGATTGGACTGAGAATGAAGATACTTTATGGGGCTGGACAGAGCATCAACTGGGTCAATACCCTTTTAAGTATTCATTTTGAGCCAGTTCAATCTTTTATAATGAACTTCTAATATTTATATTTGGAGAAAAAAGAAAACTTTTTAGAAGCAAAAAATCAATGGTAATATGAAATTTAGTTTTGGTGTTATTGATTTTTTAAAAAATCTTCTGGATTGTAAATTATGTGTACTGAGCCCCCATTCTACACTCCTGGCTTAAGGATTCTTATTCTATTTACATACCTGAGATGCTACCTCTGGGTCAGGAGGCCTCTTGGCAGCATGGAGTAGGCGAGAGGAGAGCAAAGGCAAAAGTCTTGTAGCTCCTATATGCTGTATGAAGAAATATGCTGTAGTCACCTCAGAATGCAGAATCAGATGAACAAACAGGATCAGCATTATTTCCCACTCCACTCCCTTTTCCTCTGATTCAACACAAATCTTCTTATTAAGAGTATTTCAAGTTGGTTTTGAAACCAGTGCTTCTGAAGCCCATCGTTCCTTAGAATTGTGAAAAAGGAAGGTAACATATTAACAGTAATACCATGAGGGTAATATTACTAATATATATTATTTATGGCTATATATTTACATTTGTATATATTTATATACAGACACACACACACATACACACACATCTAACCAGGGAGAGAAAATTAATCCCTTCAAAAGGTGAACAACTTCCAAGAGTGACATTGTTGTGTATTTGCAGGTCTCCAAACTGAGCTGGATTGAGAAAAAAATGGCTGCTACTCTGTTTGGAAAAGTACCATCTTCAACTGTTGAAGAAGCTTTACACAGTTTCCTTAAGGTACATTTTGTCTATTCATTATTTTAGTGTCAGACTGATTACCATCTGCACCAATCCCTGCTACCATTGTCAAGGAAATCTTTTCTCCATGTGAAGCCTTAGTTTGAATCCTAGTGTTGGCATGTTCTGTTTTAAGCCTCTCATAATAAAAGTTATTTAATATGTTTTAAATCTAAACTTCCTAGAACAGCTAGTTATGCCCTAGGTTCTAGGAATTACAAGCTACTTATAAAAAATAACTCAGCAGCCTAAAGGAAAGTTTAGGTATGACAGCCTTTACTACTAAGTCCAAGAACAGCTCTCCAAGTCACATGAGCATGTGCAGAAGGTGGCTCAGAAGTCATGCCCTGATGGTTAGGCATAATCCCAGTACTCCTGATTAGCCTAACATAGAACCAGTTTAATCTTAAAGAAATAAAAGTGTCAAGAGGAAGAGTTATTTTAAAAGCTACCTCCTAAAGTTGCAGACACTTCTCTGGAAGATTCTTGGGGCATTAGACCAAATCAGTATTCTCAATTCTGTCTGAAAGTATATAGTCCCTATACTAATACAACTCTAAGCAGTAATATGTGTGTATGAACACACATGTAAATGTATAATATAGCCACCTGCATAATCAACTTCCTGTTGGGGTAATAATCCCTTCTCTGGAACCACCTTCAAAATTTTCTAGTTACTAAATGTGTTTTCCTTCCCAACCTACTTATTTCAAGTTTATAAAAATATAGATAAGGCTGTGTCCAGTGGCTCACTTCTGTAATCCCAACACTTCAGAAGGCTGAGATGGAAGGATTGCTTGAGGCCAGGACTTTGAGACCAGCCTGAGCAACATAGCAACTCCCCATCTCTACAAGACATAAAAAATTTGCTGGACATGGTGGCATGCACCTGTAGTCCCACCTACTTAGGAGGCTGAGGCAGCAGGATCACTTGAGCTCAGTAGTTCAAGGCTGCAGTGAGCCATGCTCGGCACCATTGCACTCCAGCCTAACCAAAAGAGCGTGACTTTTTCTCAAAAATAAAATAAAATAAAATAAATGTCTTGTACATGCTAATATTTGGGCTGTATTTCAGGGATCGATTTTGTAGAACTAAGAGGGAATTTATAAATCACATAGTCTAAGATGGCAAGTAGGTTTCTTCTCACTTTCTATCTCTCACCACCAATGGCCAGTGGCTGCCTCAAGTGAAAACGTGAAGTGTCCTGAAATTAAGCACAAGCCCAGCAGAACAGAGTTTAAAAAATAAAAAGAAAAGGACTGCACATTTCTTGTTTTTTATGTAATGTGATCCCTTTTTTGTATGTTTTTTAAAAGGGAGTCAAGACCTCAGAAACTTAATTTGTTTCATTTCACACAATGGCAGTCAAAGATTTGATTTAAATACGAGTGAAGGCTGAGACTGTATCACTCCCATTTCTTCACCTTTTTCTTACCACTGAAAATTAGGTTCCTCATTTTAAATTGTATACAAATGTAGATTTTGATATATCTGAGATAAAAGATTTATGTAAAAGATGCCACATTCACCAGCAAAAAATGTTATCTGTACTCAAAACTCATTTCCTCATAATATCAAAGTTGTAATTGAGGAGCAGCTTTTCAGAACACTGTAGAAAAGTTCTTGAGATGCTAATGTACCTAAAGTAATACACAGATAAAATCAAAAGTGGTAAGTAGCCCAATAATGTTAAGGTAAAGAATGCAAATTCCAGAACCAGACTACCTGGTTAAATCTCAGCTGTACCACTTACCAGCTGAGTAACATTGGGCAATTCACTTAATCTCTCTCTCAATTTAATCAATAACATGAAGATAATAGTACTTACCTCACAGCAGTATTGTAAGAATTATCTACATCCCTGCAAGTAAATTACTTAGAGTATGCCTGGTGCCCAGTAAGTCCTCAGTAAAAAGTCACAGAATTTTAATTTCATTAAAATTTAAACACCTTGGAAAACCATCTTGGGGAGCCCCACATTAAATCATGACTTAGACTTTAGTCTGAAAACACATTCCATGGTGTTTGTCAAAGGAAAGAGAGGAGGCATCAGGAATGCTTCTCACCATATTTAGCAGAATGACTGAGGGGACTGAGGGGCGAGGAGTGCTGAGGCTAAGGCTGTGGTGGAGCTAAGAAATCTGGGAGGTGGAGGCAAGGAAAGGGAAACAGCAAACACCCTGGCTCCCACACCCAGGAGAGTCTGCAACCCCCTGGGTCCTACAACACAGGAGGCCGTGTCGATGGGACCCAGACTGTAGGACCCCCGACCCAAAACCACCCCTCCAAAGAGGGCCAAGAATGTGCCTCTAGAGCCATCCAGCTGGGTCCCGTAGACATTGAGAGCACTGACTTTAGAGTCAGACGAGTGAAGTTGAGACCTGAGCCTTTCCTGTCTGTGTGACCTGGACACATTTCCTTAGTTCTCACACTGTCAAATTCTTCATCTGTGCAGTGGCCATAATAATACGTACTTTGTACAGTTTTTTTGAAGGTTACATAAAATAATACATTTGATATTCTTGGCCCAGGGTCTAACATGTTAAATGTTCTAACTAAAAATCAATGTTAGCTACTATTATTTTGCTATTATAGCAGGAGAAAATTGGTCCTCCATAGCCTCAAAGCATCTAGGGAGGTAGTTTTAGACACCTGTAGGAGTCATCTTTGAATCCCATGGGGAAATTCTTGCAAACTATAGCATGCTTTCCACCTCATCCAAAATTCTGGTGTGATTTCCTAAAGCAGTGGTTCTCCACCTTGGCTGTGCACTGCAGTCATCTGGGGCACTTTACAAAATGTTGGCCCAGGCCATGACCCAGCCTTATTGTTATAGAACCTCTGAGTATCTTGAAGTATAGTTTATAAACAATAAATTGCACCCATTTTAAGTGTACAGCTCAGTGAAGTTTGACAAACTTATATATCTATGTAACCACCACCATTTCAAGAGATCATTTTCATTATCCTAGAGAGTTATCTTTGCCCCTTTGCTGTTAATTTCCCCTGCCTCCTGCCCCAGGTAACCACTGATCTTCTTTCTATTACTATAAATTAGTTTTGCCCATTCTAAAATTTAATATAAATGGAATCATACAACATGTACTTTTGCATGTATCTGGCTTCTTTTACTCAGCATAATGTTTTGAGACTCATTCGTTTTATTGAGTGTATCGGCAGTTCTAGTTCATTGCTAAGTAATATTTCATTATATGTATGTACCTTAATTTGTTTCTATGTTAACTTACTGTTAGACATTTGAGTTGTTTCTGGTTTGATGCTATTTTGAATAAAACTCCTGTGAGCATTCAAATGCAAGCTTTGATGTAGACATACTTTATTTCTCTTGGGTAACCACCTAGGGGTGGAATTGTTAGGTCGTATGGTATGTGCTTTTAAACCTTGATCAGTGTTTTTAAAGATCATAAAGCTATTGATTCCAATGGCAGCTGATGGCATAGCTGGAAACCACTGGATCAGAGGATGGGTGTGTGTAGTAAATGACAGGTGTGGCAATGCTGGGATACAGGCTACCCTGATTGCCCTTACTGTTTGCAATCATATGATCCCTGAGTCTGTATTGGTGGTTTCCCCAGCTGCAGAGCTCTCTGCCGTGTCCTGATATGGTATAAGCCTGCTGCTTGAGCTTCTAAGATGTTTTAAAGAAAAGTTAATTTATTCAACAGTGTTTATTAAGCACATAACTAGTACCAAACATGGCATCAAATACTGGTAACACAGAAATGACCAACACAGCTCCTGCCTTCAAGGAACTTGGATAGCCAAGAGAAATTAAACATGTATAATATTCTTTGCTAGGTGTTATGATAAAGAGTGTTCTAAGGGCCTCTCTAGAAACTGCCTCATCATTTGGAACATTACACTGAAACATGAGCATTTAACTAATGCTACACCCCTTCTAATTCATCCAAGGCCTTTTGTGAAAGGTCAGAATCTCTTTTACCTTAGGAATTCAGTGTTGTTAGTTGCCTGTCTGTGTCCTGTTGGGCTTTAGTGTTTTAAGCCATAAGAACAGAAAGAGGTGTTCTGATTTATAATAACTTTAGTTAACTAAACATAGGTTTTAAGATATATATGCAGAATTAAAATGCCAGCATTAAAAAAATAAGCTGTTTACATGCATATATTGGGGCAAGTTATCCCCAATATGGGATTTGGACAGAGCTGAGACAACTACTGGGCATAGAAGAAGGTATAACTGAATAAAGTTCAGTTTTACCCCTCTTATTAGAATGGCTCAAGAAATGCACTTATCAAATGAGAGGTCTTGAAATGGAAGTGATCAGACAAAAAAAAAAAAAGCAGGAGAACCAGAATCCATGGATGGCACTATTGGATGGTCAAGGCTCTGACTTGATTGAAATTGACCACTTCCTTTCATCTGTGGTAGCTTTTTTGTCTTTCCAGCAGGTTCCATTCCACGTCCAGACAATGTAAACCTACCTGGTCTTAAAGATTTTTATCAAGTCTGGCTCCCTACTCCAAGAGATTTTTGTCCTCCTCCTTCTAAAACACTTCTCTTTTGGATTCTGTACAGAATAAAATGTCTTTTACAAGGGATGTGCTCTCATAAGGTGTTGGACCCCTCCTCAGCACTCTAATTTGGATTTATCTTCATTAGTATCTGTCTTTAAAAATATATGCTTTTGACTCAGCAATTCAACTCTGGGACTCTTCCTTATAGTCATAAACACACATGTAAACAAGCATATGGGGAAAAGTATGTTCATTGATTATTAGTAGTAGTAATGAAAATTGAGAATAAATCAAGATGTCCAATGGGGAATGCTTCCTTTCATTATGATTCATGCAGAATATGAAATACAGCTCTTAAAAGTGATGAGGTGTCTCTGTATGCTAACATGAAAATGTGTTTGTAATATGGGAAAAAAGTTTGGGGCCAATATGTAGATTTTCTGTCAATATATACATCTATTCAGTTTTATGTGTTTATGTGTATTTTTCTAGCTTCACTGAGGTATAATTGACAAGAATTTTATATATATGTAAATTATATATATGTAAAACGGTTCCATTTTGTTTTATTTTCAGAAACAAAACATCTGTTTTTTTAATTTGCCCATGCTTGGCTCAGAATCTGGTAGGACACATGTCAAACTGTTGATAGTGGTTACCCCTGGGGCATGAGATTGAAGTTGAGGATAAAATTAGGAAGGAGCTAATTTCACTTTTTAATTTTGGAACTGTCTAGATTGTTTATATCTTGTGAAAAAAGCGTATTTTTGTAAATTTTTAAAAGTATCTTTTTATCTTATGTTCTACAACCCCTACGGTGGGGACTGCAGGTTGTAAGCTTGCTTGCCTGGCCCTTCAAAACAACAAAAGCTGACTCTGAAGCTAGACTGACTTAGGTTCTAAGAAGAGCTGTCTAGTAACAATACCATACCTGAAAGAATTCTTATTTCCCAGAGATAAAGGAACTGGTACATAAAAGATTAGTAGATAGGAGAAAAGTACCTTTATAATACTGATGTCTACTACCTGGACTGGTTATTTCAAGGATCTGTCTTTCCTTTAACAGTCCATGATGTGATATACTTCAGATAATATTTAACTCCTGTGGAATATGTTGAAATCATAAGAAATCAAATATTAATCTAGTGGAAGATGCTTACCATGGGGTACCAGTCATGCACTACTCTCATTTTCTAAATAGATAGTGAGGCCAGGAGTAGTGGCTCACACCAGTAATCCCAGCACTTTGGGAGGTTGAAGGGGAAGATCACTTGAGGTCAGGAGTTTGAGACCAGCCTGGCCAACATAGTGAAACCTTGTCTCTACTAAAAAATACAAAAATTAGCCAGGCATGGTGGCAGGCGCCTATAATCCCAGCTACTCAGGAGGCTAAGGCACAAGAATTGCCTGAACCTAGGAGGCGGAGGTTGCAGTGAGCCAAGATCATGCCACTGGACTCTAGCCTGTGTGACAGAGCAAGACCCTGTCAATGGAAGGATGGATGGATAGATGGGACTTGTCCTAGGCATATCACTAGTTATTTTGTTCTTAAAAGTAAAAGGATAGAGAAAGAAGACTGAGGAAAATGATTATGTAAAGAAATCTGAAAACCACAAAGTATCTCATTGCTTTACAAGCTTTATGATCATGGTAATCAATTTTATTTTAATGGCTAAATGCAAAAGCTATGTTTCCTCCCAAAAGATACTTAAACTGATCAAGTGATTCACATGTGAAACAACCAACCTAAATTCTTAGGGCAGTTTGGTTCAAAATAGTTGATTTGTTAAAATATATTTTCTCTACTTGTGATTATTGTTATTTTAATATTGCCCTGTTATTCTCTTGTATTTTTCTCTTAAATCAGGCTGAAGAACTATGCCCTGGTTATTCTATTCCCAACTACATGTACTTAGCAAAGGTAATGAAGACCACTGTTTTGCTTTAAGATCACTTTGAACCCATAAAAAACATGATTACATTTAATATTGGTTATTTCTCATTTCCAGTGTTATACTGATCTTGAGGAAAACCAGAATGCTTTGAAGTTCTGTAATTTGGCATTGTTGCTTCCTACTGTTACCAAAGAGGTAAGTCCAGAAAGTAACGGTGAGTGCTGTTGTCTCCTTGGTACTATTCAAGCTCAAAATATGAACAACTTGCTAGATACATTTGTAGTTTTCTTTCTTTATTCAATTTTGTGTATTTATTTTTATTTTTCTAGCTTTATTGAGGTATAATTGACAAATAAAAACTATATATGTAAGGTATACAGCATGATGTTTTAGTACACATATACATTATGAAATGACTACCACAATCAATCTAGTTAACACATCACCTCGGTTACTCTTTTTGTGGTTGAAAACATTTGAGATCTACTGTCTTAGCAAATTTTAAATATACAATACAGTATTATTATCTATAGTCATGTTGCTGTCCTTTAAATCTCCAGAGCCTATTCATCCTGCATAACTGAAACTTTGTACTCTGGACCAGTATCTACCCAATTCTCCCACTCTCCCAGCCCCTGGCAGCTACCCTTCTACTCTCTCCTTCTGTATGGAGTTTTCTTTTTTACTAAAATCTTTGACTTGGATTTTACATGTACTATGAAGTTTTAGAATTTGCTGTATCTCTGTAAGATAACCTGTCACCAGGAGACCCCTAGTAATTAAAACATCCTGATGCTTGTTGGATGCAAGACAGCAGGGACTGGAGCAAGCATAATTCCTCCACTGGGAAGGAGGGGGCGCAGCATAATTCTGGGGACCTGGGGATTAACTAGGCAGCAAACAACCTAGATAGGTGGCCCAGCCTAGAGCAACATGAGCGTCCATGGTTGCTATCCTCAGTCCCCAGCTCACGGCACATGTGGGTATCCAAGGCCATGACTAAGATGAAAAAATGTAATAACATGTTCTTGGTTTTTGGACACTAGCCATTAATGAAAAAGAAACTATTGCCCTGTCTCTTGCCTTTTTATTTAATAATTCAGGATTCTGGGTATGATGTAAGTTTCAAGCATTCCACAGGGTTAACAACTCAGTCTGATACTGTGAGCCATTGACTGGTGGTGTGGGCACAACGAAAACAAAAACAGGTACATCTTTTCCTGCTCTTCTCACACCACCAAACATTATCATCCTCTAAATCATAGCAAAAAAGAAATGCCTCAGAAAAAACAAAAACCCTCTTCTTTCTCTGTTTTTGGAGCAGTACAGGTTCCAATATTTATTGTGATCTGAACTATAAACAAATAAAACACTCCTCTTGCCTTCTAGGAGGCAAGAGCCTAGAAGGGAACATATGATGTGTGTCCAAATAACTATAGCTCAAAGCAGAAAGTACTAAGAGAATTACAAATCATCAGTTTTTGGAAATTTTGAAAAGGGAGAAATTATTTTCACCTAGAAGAGGCTAGGTGGCATCAGATGTAGACTTTGAAAGATCTATATAATGTGGAGGTATGGGCAAGTACATTGCAGGTTATGAACAGAGGCACAAAAGTGAAAAAGCAAAGCTCTGTTTGCCTATAGTGAAAGGAGTGTGCCCACTTTCCCCTGGACCACGAATTGTGCCACCCTCCCACCCTTTTTCCTCACAGCTTCCTTGCCTCCTGCCAGGCCATTCTTGACTCCAGTGGCAGCCCAAGCAGCAGATTAAACATAAATGTCAACACATCACTTCTCTGCTCAAAACCCTTTGCTGTTAGGATGAGGTTCAGAATTTTTAGCATGTCCTTCAAGGCTCTGATCCAGCTCCTACCACTCTCTCAAGCTTCATCTGTTCCCCGCTTTCCCCTCCTCTGCACCATCCAGCCTGCCCTTCACTGTTAGAACATACTGTTCCTACTTTCTGAAACACTCCTACCCACCCTCCACTCCTTCCACTGGCTTTATTCCTCCTTATCCTCCAGGTCTCACCATGAATGCCGTTTCTTCAGGAAAGACTTTCTTGACACCCATTGGCAAGAAAGCCTCCTATACTTTTCCTTGCTATCATTTCACAGTTGTGATTATGTCATTATTAATGTAGTTGTTTCATGAAAGTAACAGCCAGGTTTGTTTCATTCACCACTGTACCCCTAATCCTGAGTTTACTGCCTGGCATATAATAAGCGCTTGGTAAGTGTTGGTAGAAAGAACCAAGACATTAATATCATATACAATGATAGTTATGCTTCTCAACCCATGTAACAGGCTGGAAATATAGTTCAGGACTTTAATCAAAAGGCCATTTCAAAGACAAGTATACCACTTGCTAAATATAATGTGCTCTTAAAAAATAATAGTGTCAATACTAATAAGAGGACTAGTAATGAATGTAACTAAAAAGGCTAGACATTGGAAGTAGCTCTGTAATAAGCAAAATCATATGAGCAAATATTTCCCACATTGCATTTTGTTTTCCTCAGTGATGTCTCCACTTGTATTCTTAGCAATGTTTTCCTAAGTAGTAAAGCTGTGTAAGGAATATTTCCATTTCCTTTTCAATGAGAAAATAGGATGAATTAAGTTATATGTAGTGCCTATCCATCTCTATAAACTTTTTTCAGATTGAAATATACCCCATTAGTGATTTTGCTAACCAAGTTTATTCATTTCCAAAATGTCTAGCAATGCCACTAGTTACAATGAATACAACCTAGCCATCAATTTTCCCTCTCATTTGAAATTTCATAACATGTTTGTTTCCTGTAGCATTTATAGCTTCTTCTTTGCATTATAGTCATTTGTGGACATGTCTTCTGTCCCCTATTAGGGAACTCTAAGCTCATCACACTGCTGCTTCATATTGGGAGTGTTAGCCATTTGGTCTCTAGAGCCCAGATTCATAGGTGTAGGCAGCCTTACATCCCAGAATTTGAAACTGCAGTATTTTTATTATTCATGTGGACTTTTCTTGACCCTGGGAGAGTAATCGCAGATCCTGGGAGACATTTCTTTTTTAAAAAAGGGATGTCGATGTCTAAGACAGAGTGAGAATGATCGCTGAATGAAATAATGACTTCACTGGCAAGCTGAAAGTTGCTTGCCTGGAGGCAGTATTAAAGTTCATTGACGTGGAGTCTGCTGAGAAAGATCAAATATAAAAAGCATTATGTAATATTTTGTTTTATGATAAGAAATGTCCTAAACTGGTAAAGAAAAACCCATATTTTGACATTGTTGAAATATTTTGAAATGGCATTAAGTACCTTTCTGAGACAAACAGACTTTCAGAATGGTAAACGCAGTGTTACCAGAAACAAACCACAAGAAGTGTAGTCTGGGAGTGCTAAAAGTTAAGAGCACATTATATTTAGCAAGTCGTATAGTTGTCTTCGAAATGGCCTTTATTTTTATTTTTTTATTTTGAGACCGAGTTTCGCTCTTTACCCAGGCTGGAGTGCAATGGCGCGATCTCGGCTCACTGCAACCTCCGCTTCCTGGGTCCAGCCTCCTGAGTAGCTGGGATTGCAAGCACGTAATACCATGCCCAGCTAATTTTTTGTATGTTTAGTAGAGATGGGGTTTCACCATGTTGACCAGGATGGTCTCGATCTCTTGACCTCGTGATCCACCCGCCTCGGCCTCCCAAAGTGCTGGGTTTACAGGCTTGAGCCCAAAATGGCCTTTAGATTAAAGTCCTGAGCTATATTTCCAGCCTGTTACATGGGTTAAGAAGCAAAACTCTCATTGGTAACTACTCTTAGTAACAAAATCCTAATTCTCCTTTAAATTTTCTTTCTTAAGATATCATGTTTGATTATCTTAATTAAGACATTGGTTTCTGGATAGCTTTATGAAACAGAATTTGTATACATTTACTCTGCCTTCCTCTTATAGGAATGCTACTGCTCAGAGTAATAAATGGATTGCTTGCCAAAATCCAGTAATGGTGTCTCATTTGCTAGAAATTCTTGTTTGCCCGTTTCTTTCTGGTTAAAACTTATTTCTTATAAATTAACTCATCTGTGCTATCCATGCCTGGAGAATTATTCCTAGTACTTTTTAAAAAAATTAGGCGATTATAGTATAGACAGACTTTTCCTACTGTCTGAACAGACATTTTCGTGAGTTGCAGGAAGTCTGTTTACAACCCCCTACTTCTATTCTTTTGACTCTTACCTTCTTGTCATTTGCATTTAAAATGTATTATTTCTTAAGATTTTGCAATATTTGTAATGGCCTTGGTGTATTGTTTAAATGGATCTTAAAAACACTCTAAAGAAGTTTCTTAGACCCCTTTTATTTATTTGTTTTCTTAAAATAAATAATGATACAGCATTAGTTTGGGAATAGCTGTTCCTAACCAGTACCTTGTCTTATGAAGTTGGTGTTTGATAATCATTACCCAAATGCTAGGAGAATAATGACAGTTTAAAATAAATAAGTCTCTCTCTTATTTATCCAAAGTCTTTAGCAGAGAGCATTGATGTATTTTTCTAAACTGTATTTCTCCAACATTATCAGATGAAATAAATCTGTATTTTTAATGTGTGTGTTTGAGTGAGTGAAAGAGAGATTATCTTTATTCACTTACATTACAAATATGGAGGTGTACTCTGCTAGAGGCTTGGGATACAAAGGGAACAGACACCTCTGCCATCACAAATTCTGTGGTCTAGTGGGAAAGGCAGGCACTGAAAAAGTCATAGCAATAAAATGTAATGAGTGTTTTGGAAATGTAAGCACAGAGATTTATAAGAAAATAAAACTGGTACTGCAACCTGGGCTACGGGCTAGGAAAGGTGATCCTGAGGTTTTGCTATATAATCTAAGGAAATGAGAATTTAAGCACAGTTGTTTAAATATTTAAGACCTGCTTGGGCAGTAGAGGGCTCATGAAAAATACGGGTTCCTGGCCTTTTCTAGAGAGAAGGAGAAGCTCCGAGCTCTAGAACGTGGTGCCCCCAACCTCAGTGTCATCATGGTCTCACTCAAGCTTCCATCTATCTGGGTTCTGCTTTTCTGGCTTAGTGCTCCTATGGTCCGTGGGTGAGATTACAGAAAAAGACGGGGTGACTGAGTTCTTGACAGTACATCCTTAGGAAATGTTAACCCTTGAGGATATGGCTTTGGATTTTACTCAGAAAGAGTAGGCCCTGCTAGACCCATCTCAGAGGAAGCTGCACAGAGATGTGATTCTGGAAAAAAATCTTCAAAACCAGCATCCAGGCAGGAAAGTCTTTCTCTTTCTTTCTTTTTTTACTTTCTCCAGTTTACATTTAGTTTCCCATAAATATTTCACAAATGATCCTGAGTGATAACAATGGTCAGGACAGGTCAGAAGGGGAAAAATGTAGGTAGCTACATTTTGTTCTTAAAAACAAGCATTTAATCTTAGAACTATTTTAGATATACAGAAAAATGTGGCCAGGTGTGATGACTCATGCCTGTAATCCCAGCACTTTGGGAAGCCAACTAGGGCAGATCACTTGAGCCTAGGAGTTTGAGACCAGCCTGAACAACACAGCAAGTTCCCTATCTCTAAAAATAATTTTACTTTTTTTTATTAGTATACTTTAAGTTCTGGGATACATGTGTAGAACATGCAGGTTTGTTACATAGTCTATGTGCTATGATGGCTTCCTGCACCTATCAACTCATCTACGTTAGGTATTTCTCCTAAAGCTATCCTTCCCCTAGCCCCACCCTGTGACAGGCCCCAGTGTATGATGTTTCCCTCCCTGTTTCCATGTGTTCTCATTGTTCAACTCTCACTTGTGAGTGAGAACATGCAGTGTTTGGTTTTCTGTTTTTGTGTCAGTTTGCTGAGAATGATGTTTTCCAGCTTCATCCATGTCCTTGCAAAGGACATGAACTCATCCTTTTTGTGGCTGCATAGTATTCCATGGTATATATGTGCCACATTTTCTTTATCCAGTCTATCATTGATGGGCATTTGGGTGGGTACCAAGTCTTTGCTGTTGTGAGCAGTGCTACAATAAACATATGTGTGCATGAGTCTTTATAGTAGAATGATTTATAATCCTTTGGGTATATACCCAGTAATGGGAATGCTGGGTCAAATGGCATTTCTGGTTCTAGATCCTTGAGGAATCGCCTCACTGTCTTCCATAATAGTTGAACTAATTCTCTGGCATCTGTTGTTTCCTTACATTTTAATGATCCCCATTCTAAGTGGCATGAAATGGTATCTCATTGTGGTTTTGATTTGCCTTTCTCTAATAACCAGTGATGATGAGCTTTTTTTCATATGTTTGTTGGCTGCATAAACGCCTTCTTTTGAGAAGTGTCTGTTCATATCCTTTACCACTGTTTGATGGAATTGTCTGTTAGGAAAGTCTTAAAAACAAAGAACTTCCATGGAGAATATCTACAGGAAGGAGCCATGTAACAGCATGTCAATACTGAGATTCATGGGGGTGAACCCTGTTCCTCCACAGTAGGATTGGCCTGGGGAGGGCAAATTAGGAATGCAGCACAATCACATGGCTTTAATTTGAAGTTAGAGAAAGTGTGCTATCTCAGCTCAAAGGTGTGGATAATTCAAATTTGGAAGAAAAGGAATAACCTGAGCTCAAAATCATAACCTGAGTTCTTATACGAGGGCAATTGCATAAATATAGCCAATATATTAAGTGCTTGAAACATAATGAAAACCTTAAAACTAGTCAGATTGCAGCTGACCTACTACAAAGGAGAAAATTTCTATACGCAAAGGAGAGTAACACACCAGATGAATGTAACCAAAGTGGAAGATGTTAATTAGAGACTATATTGAATGCTTGGCATCAGATTCATATGTGGGAAAATAAATGAATAAATAAAGGTATGTGAGCAAGGCTTCAACAGCCTGTTATAGTCTCAGTAGCAGAGATGTCACAGTGGAGAGGAGCCCTTGGAATATAATGAGTATGAGGAAGTTGTCACTCACAGGCCAACATTGACTCAACATGTGTTAGCTTGCACTGGAGGGAAGCTCTATAAATATAATGAATGTAGGAAACAATTCACTAGAGAGCTAATTCTTACTCATACCAGAGAACTCAAGAGAGAAACTCTTTGCCTGTAATCTATGTGGAAATGCCTTCAGGGACCATTTATCCTTTAAACAACACAGTGAATTAACACAGGAGAGAAACCACATGAATACGATCTATGTGGGAAAGCCTTCCCTTAATGGTCTCACCTTAGTCATAATGAGACAATGCACAATAGAGAGAAACCATATGAATGTACAGCATTTGGAAGAGCCTTCAGCCTCAGCCCTAATCTTTATAGGTGGTCTCTCAAGTTTCCATCTGTCTGGGTTCTGCTTTTAGATACCAGAGAGCTCCCACGGGGCTAAACACTACACCCTTTAGGCAAAGCTCAAGCCTTGATATGCAGAAAAAAAACTTAGAGTAAAACCAGAAAGAAAGTGGCAAGTTTTTTCAAGGAGGAAGAAACCATTGGAAAAATAATAATTCATGCTAGAGAAGCAATTCAACGAAATAAACATAATAAACCCTTTACTCATAGAGCAGCACTCTAGGACATTTGAGGATTCATGCTGTATAAAACACTCTAAGAGAAAAGCAACCTGTTAAAATGAAAAAAAAAAAGAAAATTATTAAGAATAATAATAAAGAAAGAAAATACTGTCAGTGTCCTGAATTAGGGAAAGTCTTCAGCGATTGCCCATACCTTCATGAACCTTAAAAGTTCTTATGTTGGGGAGGTTCCCCAGGCCTCAAGTCAATATAGAAAATGCTTTTACCTGGATTTTATGCAACTTATACTGGGAAAAAACTCTACCAAGAACCCTTTAGCACACAATTCAACAAATAATTGAGACTTTTGCCCAGTGATGTATTACTTTAAAAAAAAATGTAGCATAAAGGTATAGAATTGTGATTCTTTCTTAGAGGTGTAGAATATAGAATTTGGTAGTACTTAATGAGCAATGAAATAACCCCTCTTTAATAGATTAGTCCTAGAGAATATCTATGAAGTAAAAGTCGGAATGGAATATTAAAAATGAAGTAAAAATGGAATATAACCTATTGATATTTATCTTTTAACAAATGAAACATGCCAAGTAATTGGGTCATTTTTTCCTTTAATATTTTGTCATTATTATCAGTTGATCAGCTTCCATTTTTTATGCAGCTCTAAACATATTTACAAAGACTTTGGCCAGAAAATTATTTTTAATGTAACTGGAAAATGTAGAACACAAAATCTTGTGTGATAACTATTAGGTGAGTGTTGAAATATGTATCTCTCTGGCTAGAATGGAAATACAGGTAAATATCCATTATAGTATTAAATATCCCAGATGATACTGGAACACATAGTATGGGGCCATACTTTATGAAACACTAGAAAACAGACATAGAAAGTACTGAATCAAGTATATGATGTGACTGAAATGTTGAATACTGGAGGGGGAGAAGAGATGAGAGCCTTATATGCCTTTTTCTTTAAAGCAGAGGAAAACCACTGAAGGGTCTTCAGCAACAGATAATACAATGAGATTTTTAGAAAAGAGCACAATAGCCACCATATGGAGACTGGCTTGGAGTGGAGGGGAGCAAAACTGGAAGCAGGAATATCATTTAGGTAACAACTGCAATGACACAGACATGATATGGTGGCATGGACTAAGATGATGGTAGTGAGGAATTAAGAGGAGAGAACAGATTCCACAGAATTGTAGGTAGTATTCTCTATAAGACTTGGAGATTGGTTATTGAGGGAGAAGGAGGACTCAAGGATGACATCTTGGTTTCTGGCTTGGGAAACTGACCAGGATAGATGGAGATGCGCTTTATTAACACAGGAAATACAGGAAAACCAGGTTGGTGGGGAAGGTGACTTCAGTTTTGGAACGTTGAGTTTGTGTTTGTGAGATTTTTAAGTCCAGTGAGTAATTGGATATTTGGCATATAAACAATGTCTGAAGCTGCCCTATGGAAGAAGTCATCCAAAGAGACTATGTAGTACATGGAAAGCAGAAGTCAAAAAATCTACCCCTGAGAAACACCAACATAATGGAATGGGGGAGGAGGAGAAACCTGCAAGTGAGACTGAAAGAAGTGGTCAGAGAAGGTGAGACCTCGGAAGCCAAGGGATGCTGGAAATGGTAAACTACGTTAGATGCTCTGGAGAAGTCAAGCAAGCAAGGACTGGAGTGAGTGTTGAACTTGATGTGGATATCATCAGTGATCTTAAACTAGGCTGTTTTAGTAGAACAGCAGAGAGTGGAAACCAGAGTTCCAAGCAGTCAGGAGGCGAGAAAATATAGTCATTATGTGTAGACACTCTTCCAGAGAATTTCATGGGGTAAGGAGGAGAGTCGTAAGGTTAAAGGGATGCTTGAGTTGAGGGTTTGTTGTAGATGGGAAGTACAGAAGCACATTTAAATGATTATGAGAAAAAGCCAGCAAAGAAGGAAGGGTTCAAGAAAGATTGGAGAAAAAGGAGATAATTGATAGAATAAGGGCCTGGGGAAGCCAGAGAGAATGGGATCTGGAGCACATGAGGGCCCTCTTCTGTTACAGTTTGTGAATATTCACTTCTTTAACCAACTAATTGAAATAATGCTCTCATCTATGTAATTCTGCTGTAAGAAATTAATTCCTAGATATAGATACTTGCCACCATGTTTCAGTGTCTAATCATTCATTTAGCAGACATTTACTTAGGACCATCTATTTACTAATAGATGGCATCTGCCAAGCACTGAGATAGCCCAGCAGTTTGATAAACATGAACTCAATACCTGGAATTACTGATTTTTAAATCAGTTCTTCTAAATACCACATTAGTATCTCAGATACCAGTAATTTTATTTTCTCACAACCTTCAGTAAATATTGTTTAATAGACGATAGACTTTAGTTGATCACTACAATAGAATCAGTGCTTAGAAAACCTACAATTTCAAAAATAATTTAGCTAACAAATACTTCCAAATATCTACCCTTGTCCTGTTGTCTTCATCTGATTATTTCAAATATGTTACATCTCTTAAAGCCTTGGATAGGCGCTCAGAAAATGTTTGTCAAATGCAAAAATGCATAAAAGTACTCCGTCATCTGAATTTATTGCCACTCTTTCAAATCCACATTCGTTGTAAAGAATTAACAATAGATATAGTGTCCTATAAAACATATTACATGATTTTTAGTCTTAACTATAGGCTTCCTAATAAAGTCAATAATGAAATATATGTTGACCAGCTCTAACAGAATCTCAGATTTCTTCACATCTTGCTGCTAGGTCTAGTACTTCTTCACATCTCACAGCTGAAGAAAAAAATCCATAATAGATTGACACAAGGGCAGATCCATTGTCAGCTTACATGGAAGTCTCTTCGTCCTGAATCCCATTACTCCAGATCTGGTAAAGGAAGAGCCCAGAAATAGCTATCCACATTGCCCACATTATCATAGATCTGGATCTGGTCTTTAAAAATCCAGTTCTTTCTTTTTTCATTTTTTTGAGACAGGATCTCACTCACCCATGCTGGAGTGCAGTGGTGTGATCATGGCTCACTACAGCCTCAGCCTTCCAGGCTCAAGCGATCCTCCCACTTCAGCCTCCCAAGTAGCTGGGACTACCAGATGCATGCCACCATGCCCAGATAATTTTTTTCTTTCCTTTTCTTTTTTTTTTTTTTTTTTTTTGATAGATACAGAATCTCACTATGTTGCCCAGGCTGGTTTTGAACTGTTGGGCTTGAGCAATTCCCCTGCCTTGGCCTCCCAAAATGCTGGGATTGCAGGTGTGAGTCACTGCACCCAGCTGGTCTCTTTGTAATGGTCTTTCAAAACAAAAGTCTATTTCAGCACACTAGAGTATCAAGATGAATGCATGAAGTTTCATTATGTATTTGTATTTTCTTTATAGGATAAAGAGGCACAGAAAGAGATGCAAAAAGTAATGACTTCCTTGAAGAGGTAAATAAACGAATTTACTCTTCAACAAATCAGATGTGGCCTACCAAAACTTAAACTAATCAAAGTCGTGCTTTTATTATCCTTTTCTTCATTTTTGATGTAAGGGTATTGTGCTCAGATTTGAAGGTAAAAGCATGTTTCCACAGAATGCATTCCACTAGTAGCACAACGAAATTATGTTATTGGAGAATCTATATACTATCATGTCAATACATAATCTACAAACATGTATGCTTTATATTTTTCTTATCAATAAACTGCAGCCTTCAGAACATTTGTTTAAATAAAATATTTAAATCCAATAAAATGAACTTTCATAAGTATTGTTTCTATTGAGACTTAATAAAACAAAGTAATTTCATTAATGTGGATGAAAAATGGAAAACTGAGCAAAGGACACGAACAAGTTGTTGGCAGAAGAGAAAAAAGAAATGTAACTGGTAATCAAAAGATGTAAATAAAATTACAATAAAATACTGTTCTACCATCAAACTAGCAAGGACTTTTTTCTTTATTCCAGAAGCATTTAATGCTGGCAATATTGACATGACATGGAGCATTCTCATACACGGTTAACAGGAGAATATTTTGTTGGATAACAGGAGAATATTTTAAATATAAAAATTATTTTTAAAAAAATTTTAAAGAGTATTTTGGCACAAGCCTTTGGTAAAATTTATTGAGAGTCTTCGTCATGGAAATAATCGTAAAGAGAAAACTGCAATGAGTGATGCACAAATATTCATAACAACATAACACTGTGTCCAACAAAAAGAAAGCAGTTAACTACGTTGAAATATAACTACAATCAAATAACATTTTGCCATTAAAAATAATTACACATATAGGCAAATTCACAGAACATCTTAAGTGCAAGTACAAGTTAAAAATACTACATACATAGGATCTCAACAGTATAAAAATAAGCACATTCTAGTAGGGAATACACTAAAATAGTAGTAGTTTATATTTCTGTGGAGCTGTATTTTATTTCCTACATTTTTCCAATTTTTAGTAATAAAATTATTTTTTAGGTTGTACTTAGCAGTGAGTTATAAAGATTCCCTGCTACCTCTTAATCAGCCTCATCTTGGAAATCAGAGTAAAAACTTGGATTTTCTGTTTATTGTCCCAAATACATGGGTGTGTGCACACACACACTCAAAATTTTAAGCCCTGATGTAGACATTCTAGTTAGGTATATTAAGCTACCCCCTAAACCCATCTTCTATAACGGTCAATCAAGATACTGAATCAGTCCAGCTAGTTCTCACCCACTTTCCTCTGACAACTGGTTTAATGTTAAAACTCATGGCTAGATGGGGCAAGAGTCTTGCAGGCTGTCTCATGGATATGCAGAGAGGCTATGGATACCTCTGACCATCTCTAAACAGCTAAAGGAATATGTAAGTATGGAAAGGTGAATCCAGCTAGCAGCAAATGACATAGAATCAACCATGTTGTAGGTTTTGTGGGAGCAACTCATTCCAGCAGAGTGCTGTAAACACGTCCTCTAGGAATTATGAGGACTATCAAGAAATATTCCTGGTGCCACAGTGGGATTTGGGACTCATAATTGGAACCTGACATAAGACCTAATCAGTGTTCCTTTATTATATTTTGACAAAATTCTTCATTGTTTCTCATATGTCTTCAATTGACAAGTTGATGCCCATTGACTGGGTAATCAGTGTAGCAGTTTCTGGATATGAGCTTGACCCAGTGGAAATGTAGTACTACTAATTCAATCTTTAGAGAATTAGAAGTTTCTAACATTTTGGCAATTTCTCCAAATGAGTATTAAAAGAAGGAATTCCCCTCATCATCATGGAAATAACCCTTCAAAGGAGCATTAACTCCCTGCTGCATGCCCGCTTTCAGAGTCATAATGTCATATCTGTAGTCCTCATAAAGCCATATAATCAGAGAAGTTACGTTTGGAAGGTTGAGGCAAGAGGATCACTTGAGCTTAGGAGTTCAAGACCAGCCTGGGCAACATGGTGAAATCCCATCTCTATAAAAATTAGCTGAGCATGGTGGTGCACACTTGCAGATCCAGCTGCTCGGGAGGCTGAGGTGGGAGGATCACTTGAACCCAGGAGATCAAGGCTGTGGTGAGTTATAATTGTGCCACTGTACTCCAGCCTGGTGACAGAGTGATATTCTTTCAAAAAAGATTTTTTAATTTAAAAATAATTTTTAAAAATTAAAAACATTGCAAATAATTGCTAAATAGCTCAAAAACCATGAACAGGACTAGAATCTGATAACCTAGAAGGATGTGCTTTAGAACAGTGGTCCCCAACCTTTTTGGCACCAGGGACCAATTTCATGGAAGACAATTTTTCCATGGACCAGGGGGTGGGGGATGGTTTGGGGATGATTCAAGTGGATTACATTTAGTGTGTACTTTATTTCTATTATGATTAAAGTGTAATATATAATGAAATAATTATACAACCCACCGTAATGTAGAATGAGTGGGAGCCCTGAACTTGTTTTCCTGCAACTAGAAGGTCCCATCTGGGGGTGAAGGGAGACAGTGACAGACCCATCAGGCAATAGATTCTCATAAGGAGTTTGCAACACACATCCCTTTCATGCACAGTTAACAGTAGGGTTTGCCCTACTAATGCCACCGCTGATCTGACAGGAGGAGGAATTCAGGTGCTAATATGAGCATTGGGGAGCAGCTATAAATATAGACAAAGCTTTGCTCACTTGCCCACCGCTCATCTCCTGCTGTGAGGCCCAGTTCCTAACAGGCCACCAGCCAGTTGCTAGTACCAGGACCAGTCTGTGGCTCATGGGTTGGGGATCCCTGCTATAGAGGATACATAGGATATTTTGTTCATTTAATCCTCAGTCCAATCCAATGAGGGAGGCATTCTTGTTTCCATATAGGTAATGACATAACTGAGGCTTGGAATAGATAAATAACTTGCCACAGGCCTTTCTTAACAAGTAGAAAGAGTTGGTACTTAAACAGGGCTTAATTTGACTCTTACTCACAGCAGATATATGAAAGGTGCTGTGTAGATAAAAACAAGGAAACAAAAAAAAAGTTATGTGTAATGAGGCCAAGTAAAAACAGTTTCTATATTAAACCCCTACTGAGTGATTTTCTTGAATGACAGGATTGCATGTAGAATATTACACTTACTCCAGGGAATTTCACACAAAGTGAGCCATGAGGACTCTGGTTTTCAATGGTTACTTCACTCACCACTCATGCTGCTTGACCTCAGAGAAGAGAGAACAGCTGCAGAGTGCTCCTGAAATGAGGATTGTTCCTGCTGGATCGCAAAGTCCAAGCTGATGGTACACTCTCTACTCACTGATGAGTAAGCAAGCTGCTAACTTCTCAAGAGGCTTCATGTACAACTTTGGAAAGGCGGAGTTCTGACCCAAACTTTAAATATGTTTGATTTCAGAAGATAAGAATCAAACTGTATGTTGCAATTTCTCATAAAACATTAAAGAGGTAATTTAGTGGTCCGCTAAAATTTTAGTGATGTCCATGTAATTGTGATGTTATCTTTCTTACTAAGTAAAAAAATGGTCTTTATTTTAATATGAAAATCCATGCCACTTCTCAGTTGTGCCTAAAAGTTATCAAACAGCTTTTCATTTGTTAATATTTTTTATACTTTTGGATTTCAAAAAGCAGTGGTACAAGCTGAATGGGACCAGCTTTTACACTAAACTTCTCATTTACCAATAAACAGTTTAAGCATTGATGTGTAGGTAACAGGGTCAGGGTCAGAGAACTGTAATGACCAAGTCAGGACTGGGTTCCAGCCCTTGGAACCTCACTTCTGCTTTCTTTCTTTGAGCCCAGGGCTATTTATGTTAAATTGATTGGAGTCCAATGTGTCTGATATAGAATGGTGGCTCTAAGAATGATAACACTTACCTGGCGATTACCTATTCCAAGTGTTTTTCCTATATTGATACATTTAATCCTCACGGCAACCTAGAAGGAAGGAGCATTTGATATTACCCCATTTAAAATAGGGGAGATAAAGTGCAGGATATTCCCATGCCTAACACTGTGAGCAAGGGATTTGAACTTGGGCAGACTGCTCCATAGTCCATGCTGTGGCCAGCCACTGTACAATCCTGCCAGCAAATGGGGGAATTGAGATGTGGGAAGTGAAAGAAAGTGGAAAAACAGAAGGTAAAAGAAACAAGGGAAAGGAAAAAGAATTTTTAAAAGCAGAGGGCAGTGAAGAAAGAAGGAAAACAAAAGGAGAAAAGGTAAAGAAAAATCTTATATTTTGGATATTGATAGACATTTTCTGGTATTCCATCGTACATTTCCACCAACCTCTTTTATATCTTATCTTACATATTTTTCATACATCTCTTCCTTCCCCTCCTCAAGATAAGGAAAGAGAAAAATGGGGTAGTGACGCCTGTTTTTAAGGACTTGATCTACTTGAACTGAGTATGTTGAGAAAGCTTTGGTTATGGACTTTGTGGCCTGTTGACTGGGAAATTAACAAGAATAGTTGCTTTCACAAAGACAAGGTGCATTTTAGAACCAATAAAGTTAATCCTTTAAGTACTGTGATTTTGGAGCCCCTCGACCTATATTTTGCTTTAGATACTTGAAGCCAAATCATAAGATTTGGTTTTTAAAAATATTGAGATACAATTGATATACAAAAAAATTGCAAGTATTTAAAATGTATAATTTGATAAATGTTGACATGTGTACATCCACAAAACCATCACCACAGTTAAGGTAATGAACATTTTCATCACCTCAAATGTTTCTTCATGCCACTTGGTAATCTCTCCCTCTTGTGTCTCTCTCTGCACTCCCATTCCAAATAGTCACTGATCTGCTTTCTATCATTATAGATTACATTTTCTAGTATTTTATATAAGTAGAATTATCATTATGTACCCTTTTATCTGACTTCTTTCACTCAGCATAATTATTTTGGGATTTATCCATGTGGTAGCATGTACTAATAGTTCATTCTTTTTCATTTCTGAGTAGTATTTTATAACAAAAATATACCAGTTTTTTTTCTCCACTCATCTATTAATAGACATTTGG